TGATTCTAAGCTAATGTCAAGCTGAATTAGCAACTATGAAATGTATAAGGCACAGCATCATGATTCTAAGCTAATGTCAAGCTGAATTAGCAACTATGAAATGTATAAGGCACAGCATCATGATTCTAAGCTAATGTCAAGCTGAATTAGCAACTATGAAATGTATAAGGCACAGCATCATGATTCTAAGCTAATGTCAAGCTGAATTAGCAACTATGAAATGTATAAGGCACAGCATCGTGATTCGGGTCCCACTTTTCAAGATTGCGAACGCATTGTTCCCCGAAAGTACTGATGTATGTATAGCTTTGAAATATTTCGTCCTGTTTGTTTATAGAGTTATTGGGATGTTTTGGTGATGACGAGTTTCTACCAGAACTCACTGCTTCCTTGTATAAGCTTTTTGCCAAGCCAAAGACAGGAATTATGATTCCAGAGRGCTGGACAGACTACCTTGTACCAGTATCCAGTCCCAGTACATATCAGTACCTATGCACCAACAACAAGTGCTTAAATGCAGGCTACACCATGGGACTTCCCAAAGATTGCAGATTTTTGTCTGAGGTCAAGGCAGCATGGAGTGGAGACTGCAAGACAGTTAAGGACAAATATAACTGTCAACTTGAATTCAGTTTGGATATTATACAGTCTTACAAAAGGATGTCAAGTCAAGTTGAACATTGTGCAAATACGGTGGAATGTTTCCATGGTGACAGATGTTGTCAAGCAACAATGAAGTCGTGCCAGGACGWTGATGAAAGAAGTAAATGTTGTCATGGTAATGAATGTACTCTAATGAGTGTTGTACAAAAGTATAATAGTAATGATGGTAATATCGCTGCTGAAAATGGTGCTTATAAAAATAGTGAAGATGCGAGCAAATATGACGGTACTAGTTGTACAGATAAGAATGACAGTAACATCGACAAGACAAAACATTCTGAAACTAATACGAAAAAACAAAAGAGTTGCCATGGGGATTGTGAGTCGCAACTTGAAAGCCMCTCCTATCTCCATGGATTCATTGGTTACTTTACGTCGACTTTGTACAAAGATATAATGATTGACACCCGTCATTTATCAACTAATCGTAACGCATTTCACTGGGAGTGTTATTTTATACCTCTGTTGCATCCAATCCAAGTCAGACAGAATTCTTGCGTTAGTTTATCTATRGCTAGAAAGACACATTTGAACGATGACAAGACGATGAAATTGTGGTACGAGTGGCAAGTTATAGTGGAAAACAAACAAGATCTATTTTGTAATACACTGGAAACGAAGCAATTGAAATATRATCAGGAAGCAGTTGATATTGGCTCCTGCACYTCTAAAATGGCGCTGCAAGATACACTTAGGRAATCACATTCGACACAAGAAAATGTGAAAAATAATACAAGTGTGCTCRTCTGTAAGCATAGGTTTCCTYTTCAAAATCAAGGCGGTGATGATGACTGTGTGTATTTGAGTAAAAATAAGTGTGTTTTACAAGCGTGATGATGTAATATATGACTTAAGAAGGATTGGCAGACTACATGTATTCTCGATGACTCATTTATGACAGATAAACAAGATGGCCACGTATGAAAAGATCAAGGAGAAGCATARGACTGTGAGGAAGATATCCAGAATTTTCTGCTAATTGTCATACATGGAAGCAGGTAAGAGCAATATTCTACCTTCTTTTTCGTTTGTTTTTACATACTTAATAGAGAGGACTTTCGAAACAGTTGTGTAAAAATTAAGATAAATTAAGCGCCGTAAAAAGGTAGGTGAAAGTAACTTACTAAAAGTTATTTTTACGGTGTTGAATTTATCTTTTTTCACAACTGTTTAGTGAAGAAGCACCAAGCAGCTCACACTAGTTTACCGCTAGTTTCCACCGTTTGTTTTTCTGTCATGACGACACATTAGGGTCTGAAGGCGATGTAACACTGGTCAAATTCTCATCAAGTTTTCTCTCCAAACGGCCAGACAAGTTGCTTGAGAATTAACGTTRTAATTGGGGCTGTTAAGATTTAGGGAAGTTTCCTCAAAAGATGCGAATAGTGTTGCTTGACGGGTTGATACACCGTGTAATRGCGTTGCAAGTTGATGCAATGCGTTGCGAAAAGGTTTTTACGTGACGCRCTACCGCTACGTGCAAGGAAGAGACAACAACTGTTTAATACACTGAAATTCTCCAGGAGCTTTTCTTGTTTCGAGTAAGAGTATAGCACGGAGTTCTCAATGGTGTGGCTAGGGCTCTTCTTACCAGAATTGAGTTAGGCTCGGCGTATATTCGTATAAATGTTACTATGAGACCTTATACTAATTATACAGCTACAGTAGTAACCCAATGGGCTTCGCTGGTACTATGTACATGTAGATGAATGCAGTTGCAAGACAAGCTCCCGAGAAAATTGCATATTGTAACATCAAAGTATATTCAATACAATATGAATACACCGTGTTGTTGTCAGAACCAGCTGGAGGATTCTGTTTTGGATTTATTRTTCTATTGATTGCAAGCAAAGTGTCTGTAATGCAAGAAAGTRAATTTTAACAATGAGCTATAAGATAGATACACTAACTATCTAGTATTATATTATAAAGTCTTGTCTATACTGGCGAACTTTTGTAGTATGATTGACTCGCGACAACCGTCATTTTGTTGATGCTGCAAGGTCTAGAGCAATATAGATGGCATAATAGGCATTTTGCATGAAACTCTCACATGGAACTAAATCCGCCATACTGGATGGCACAAGAATGTAAACAACCTCAAAAACAAAAGGAGCGCAGCCCGTCAAGCTTGACTTTTCTTTGTTTTAAACGTCCCCAGTGGGTGTTTTGCCATYCAGTATGGTGGATCTTGTACCATGTGATCGTTTCATGCAAAAGTCCTTTTGTCGATGAGAAAGTATGGGATACCGGGTGAACGAAACAAGAATCTCTACATTCATTACATTATTGTAATATATCATATATTTGAAATACAACTTTTGAAGCACGAAATTATTCTCCTAGGCAGTTGTTCACGATCTTTCTAGTAGCAATGTGGACTTTTGCAACCTGAACATCCCATAATTTCCTGATAATTCAAGATGGCGGCCTTCTGGTTGCAAAGGAGCCAATGTGAACTATATCACTGTCTCCATGTTGTTTGGTTTTAAATGGTCTGTGCACTCATTCACTTCTAGTTCTCGTATTGGTCTGTTCAGATTATTTACAGCCATTCATGATCCCGCTCATCCATTGGAGAGTCATTCCTGATTTAACATCTTGATCCACAGAAGCCTTTACTATATATAGCCATGTATTAATGAAGTCGCTATGATATTGTGTAACTACTAAATAGCAATCAGCAAGATCTGATGTCAATCAGGAGTGATCGATCGATCGATAGCCGAATAGTTGTATCGACCATCAACCGATTTTATCGCCACAGTAAGTCAGTAATAGTGACATTTAGCCGATKTTATCGCCACAGTAAGTCAGTAATAGTGACATTTAGCCGGTTTTCTTCCATAAGCTATTCGTAATGTCAGGCGACGGATAACTGGWTTTATCGGCATAGTTATACCGGCTTTATATCTCTGTTCAAGCTGTATAAAATTGACCAGTAACTGGTTTTATAGCTATAGCCAATCAGTGAAATCGACGAAAAACCGGTTTTATAACTGGTTTGGTATGAGGTCTAATGATGTCCCGTTTCGTTCCAGTTTCGTCGTCCATTACTTTTGACGCCGTTGGTTTGGGTGGGTTCAGCAAACTTTGACAATCGCCTGACGGGCTCTTAGCACACTCTACGTATTTCTTAATGTGGTCTTCAAAATAGCTTAGCGGTGCTGTGCCCTGCGAGAGAACCTGTAGGAGAATTTAAGCATTAATCAATTATTAATAACTAAAGTTGTTGGTATAATATACGGACTTCTTCGCAGTCACTTTCGCCCTCTTCAAAGGTGGTCAATGCTTTTCCATCAATCGGGACGACCGATGAGCTTGTAGTCATTGGATACGGCTTATTTGATAGCTACAAGCAATTATTCCTGGCAGGGGCTTACACAGGATTTTTCAATGCSGGAGGGGGYTGGGGGGTTGATGCTCAAACATCCAAAGTCGGTAYACTTATGTATATTATGTAATGTATATATATTGCGTGATTAGGAAGACTAGCTAACAGAATTCCATAAGAATAGAAAATTCACTTTGCCGTTCACCTCGTGGATTTTTTTAGTTATATTCACTTTCGTATTTCCTTCAAAATAGTTTTCATATATTTTTTTTTACATTTTTAGGGATCATAGGGAAGAGTGGAGACAGATATCTTTCATTATAAGTTCATTGGTCGTCTCGCTTTGATRCAGAGATGTTATCTTGGAAAACGGTGCAGGGACTGCGAAGCGAAATAAATATTTCGGAACATTCACAGGCATGCAAGGGATGGGCTGCCTGTTGCACACTGTATMATAATACCTGAAAATGAAAATCCTTCAAGTCGAATTTCGAGCCAAGCTCTTTCTTTGCGTACTCACGGATCTTCAACAAAAGCCTTTGACCAATCATATACGAGGTTGCTTGTCCAGGATTGCCTTGGTAACGGGTGACTTCCTTAGTAACGGAATCACCGCTGTCCCACGCATATTCTTCAAACATTTTGATGGCTTCATCACGTGACATGTTCCTGTAGTGAAGGCCTGTGTCAACTATGAGACGCAAAGCCCGCCAGATCTGAGGATTGATGGGATAGTATTTAGTTAAAACGGTACTTGATCTGAATAAAGTTTTCGACCACTTAGGTTTTGTTTCTACTTTATCCTCTCGCTAATGATTTCTTCCGCTATCATGATAGAGAAATAAATGAAAGTTATAGTGCTCAGAAGGAGGTTATTCCGGGAGAAAGACCCTTGGAAATAAATTCGGAAAAATTAATTTACGACCTCGCTGGGCCATTCGAACCCACGACCCTTAGGATTTGTACTACTGATGCTACAAGGTCAGAGTGGGAGCAGGTCGGGGTGAAATAGATGTTAGCTTGCGGCTGGGTGATTTGAGAAAATGCGACTAGCCAATCAGCGCAAAGCTGACAAGCTTATGTTGTAAACATAACCCTTCGACGGGAGGAATTTGCACAGCAAAACTCGACCCAGTGGAGTAGGCTGCCTGTCATTTTATTCTATCCGAAAAATCGAAGCTAAAACGCAAAGAGAAATTGAAAATCTTTATAAAATAGCTTTTAAATGTCAATCAAATATTTATCGTTATAGAAATAGAACTTTTATCTTAAAAATGAAATACCAAATAATTTTTTCTTTAATACCACGGGACTCCCCTCCCTGATAAAAATAATTGTTCTGTGTTCTACGCGGGTTCTCCATTGCTTGCGAAGCAATGGCCGACTTCACGAAGACTTCAGAAGGTCGTCAGAAGCGATGTTCAAGTAAAAAGTATCTTAGGAGGAACCATTTCAAATCCTTTTTCTTAGCTCTTGTTTCCTCTAAGCTTTGAGGTATCTACAACATCACTGGAAGAGCTAGAGCAGCTTAGTTAGGTCCACGTATTCGTTCGTTATTTGTGGTACAAACAACTGTCGTAGTTCATCCTTTGTCGCATTTTCGGCAATAAGCCGCAAGCTTGCTCGACGATTTGACGTTATGTAACAGGTCAGTTACACATTTACTAGCTTTGACCTTACAACGAGAGCTAGAACGGTGACTGGGGTTTTTCGTGTAATGGCTTGATAGCTTCTGTTTATGTCGAAACGACTCAAAACAAAATTCCATCGTGAAAAAGGTTCGACTAAATTCCCTTCTGAAAAACACGTGTGTATTTAAGGTGGAAAATGTTTCATATGAGCATTCAATTCTTAAAGGTTTAATCCTATAATCATTTTGATTAGTTATGTAAATAAATTTAACACGACTTGTACTGTTTATCTGAGTGGAAGGAGAGCTGCGGGTTTTCCCTTTCCTTTATCTACATTTTCAAATATGACCGCATAACAAAATGCACGGGCTCACTGGCTTACAACCTTGGCGAATTCATATGCAGGCCTGGTCGCAAATCAATCACCCAGGGCAATTAGAATGTGGATTCGAATCCCAGCGAGGTCGGAATTTATTTTTTCCGAATTTATTTCCAAGGGTCTTTCTCCCGGAATAACCTCTTTCCTAGCACTATAACTTTCTTTATTTCTATATCATGTACACCTAATTGAAGAAACGTTGTCGGTCCCAAAAAGGTCAAATCATAGAAGCTAAGACCGAAAGGGTACTTGGGAAGACAAACAATTTGGCTAATTTCATACAAACAGCTCTCCAGCATAAAAGACTATCATGCTGTTAATCTTACTAGCTCTACTTGCTTAGTGTACAMCGTATATGCAAATGTAATCCCAATTTAGTGGTACTCAAAATCCTTTTCGGTCTTAGCTTCTATGATGTGACCTTTTCGAACATGGCTACGTTTTTTCAATTAGGTGTATTTCATATTGCCATGCGGTTCTTACATTCATGTTCGCCCTCTATACAACCTGATTCACGAATGTGGTATCTTTTGTTAAGGTGGCTCACTTCACTTTTTTGCAGGTATAAAACGAAAAGCTAATCAACTAGATCGTTATCACTCAAAAGTTCCAGGAATAAAAGTTGTTTTCTTCAAGAATTCAACAAGTTTAGAATGAGCTCWYTAAGAACTGTCTGGTCTGGTCACTGCATGAGAGTTACCCCCAGACAACAAATGTGGACGAGCCACCTTAATTWGATCTTCATACCTGCCATTTCAACATGCCATATCGATACAGTGGCTCGTTATCGTATACTTTAGTCCCTTCAGATATCAATGGRTTTTCTGCATATAGACCCCAACCTTCCACGAACGCGGTGAACGAGTCAATTGTGGTAGACTGGACCCAGCCTATGAGACCTTTGCAGGAATCCATAAAGTTTTCAACATTGCCCTGGTCCTATATTAAAAGATGTAAATAACTATATAAATGCAAAGCAGTGGCAAAAAAGGAATAACGTACGTGCTATACGGAATAAACATCATGTCAATAAAAGATATCACGTGACATGTCACATGGTGATCACGTGTCAATACCTGTAAGTGATGCCCAGGCATAACCTCATGGGCGTTGACGCTCCACTCTTCGAATCTCGGACCGGGTCTATCCATAAAGAACGGGATGTAATACGATGCAGAATGAGAACACGTGGCATCGCTTCGTGAATAACTYTGCGCAGCACTCTCAGGCGTGAAATCTGGTTCAAGGGTTGCTGGACAGCTTGGTGTTGTTCTCTTGCTTCCAGTAAAGTAAAACATGTCGATAATTTTGCCTTCGAGTTTGGCCATTGTCTGTGGATTTAAATCAATATTGAATGAAAGGTAACTCTGTGTGTGTTAAAGCATTCTTCATTTTCAAGTTACGTCACAGCGGCCATCTTGGTGGAACTTCAACAAAGGATTCTCATTAGTAACAATTTTTTTTTCTCCAACATGGCCGCCCGTCTTTTATCTTTTGAATCTCATGGGAATGGTCGAATTAAGGTGTGCCCTAAAAGTGAAAGTTCCATTGCTTTGCCCTGCTGACGGGCGTCGTGTTTATTTTGGCAGTAATAAAAATATCAAGATATCGGGGATGTATTATATAAACAAAAAAGGACGAGTTTTCTCATTGAAAATAACGTTATCTGCTGTCGAATTTGGAGCAAATCTGTATAATAAAGTATTCTCAAAGTACTTTCTGGAAAACAAGTAATGCTTGTTTGCAGAATAAACRAAACTGAAACTAACAAGATGGTTAGATTCCTTTTGAGTTTTTTCAATCCCATGGTGCATCTGTGCTAAGGCTTACTACGATATAACCAAATCACTGTACAAAGAAAGATGGCTGTCTGTTCTAAAGCGATAAAAGACTTTACCTGTCTCGCATCAGTAAACCATTTCTCCATGGCGTCCCAACGTTTCGGGCAGTTTACTTTAGCGGTTTCAATAGATCTACATGCATCGTGTGCCTCTTTACCAGATTCGTTCTTTGGTATTACGCCATTACCGTAATACATGTCAGACTGGTTCAAACGTTTGACGAACATCTGTTTGGCCAGTGTATAGTTGCTTTGGCCTGTAACTTGACGTGCTATTTCTAACGCCTTTAAAAAATGTAGATAATTGTTATTTTGTCAAGTCTGTTTTTGTGGTATACCGTGCATGCTGAGAGCCTCTCACGGTGAAACACATAAACCCGTCCACACTCCTACAGTAATGTGTTTTCTCTCAGATTTATCCTGGACTCTTGTTAATTGTTGTTTTTGTTTATTTTTTTTGTGCGCTACAAAGAGATACATCCAGGATATATGGAACACTATCTTAAACAATAGAGTTGTTGAATCAAGGGCATTCACGACTTTCAAAATGGCGCGATATGTCACGGTCGCCGATCAAGGCACTGGGGACGAAGCATTAAACCGAGGTATCAAAGGCCAGCCTCTGTATAATAAACTTCAATGGGGTTTTGCAAGATTGTTTTGTTATAAATAACATACCAATACATCGTTCAAACTTTTGGACACTATCTACATGCGATCTTCGTAGTGATGAGGTCTCATTTTTGAAAGTCGTGTATTAAGCCGCGGCTACACGAGCGATTTTTCGCTTGCGCAGGCGACGTTATTTTCGGATACGATGAAAGCTCAACATCGAATTTGAGCTGTTTTTTTCTTCATGGGGATTCAAATAAGTATTTGTTAGGATTTGTTTGTCGATGCAGCATTGTCACTGGTGTATCCACATCGTGCGCTGCCAGGTTGTTTTGAGAAAATCGCGTTGGCCTGCGCAAGCGAAAAATCGCTCGTGTAGCCGCGGCTTTATGATGTGATAGTTGCCCACGAAACTGAATGATCATAAATTTCAAAAAAAAAAAGTCAACCAAAAGCATCCATTTTCCAAGTGCGGGCCTTGATGATAATATCCATCTATGGCGGGCACTATTGCGTCACGTGGCTGACTCTCCACCAATGAGAGCAGAGGGAAATTTGTGTTGAGTTATAAATGGATATCTGGTGTATTGTGATGTGAAGTTAATTTTTTGTTACCTGTGGATACAGCTGATGTAAAGTTTCGTTTCCAATCGCAAACACTTCGTCTGGACTCAATTCAGTTGTAGTAAAGTATTCTAAAATGTATTCATAGGCTTTAGCACCGCTTAGCTTCTCTCCTGTTGGCAGTTTACCGGTGGTTGGAAAATCGCGGTCAGCGGAACCATTGACGTAGATAAATGGCACGGGCAGCGATGATAGACCGCTGGACACTGAACTAGGAACGCAGTGCGACTGGTACTCGTACTTAAGGTATCTGAAGATATACAATGAATGATAAGCAATGATGGATTAAAATAGGTTTTTATGATATCCAAAATAAGAACCGAGGCAGCAGGAAACAAAGACCTTGATTATTTTAGATATCACTTAAAAAAACAATAATTGACATTTTGCCGTTAAAACCAAAGTGAGCAACATGTTTTCTGCAGCCCTTCAAAAGAACAAGAGTGGCAAGTCACTCAAAATAATGATTTTTCACCTACAAATTAAGAGCAATTTTGTAGGTTGCAGTCGATCCCGACTCTGCCTCACTTTGATGCAAAAACATAGGCCACTCGCGCAACTTGTTTCTAACTAAAAACCAGAACCATCCGACAATTTGGCATATAGTAAGACGAGTGATAATCCAAGGATGGAAAGCATACTGTGCAAATTCAACTTTTGAATTATGTACAGAAGATCGTAATGACAGCTATATTTCGATTTTATTGCAAAATCATAATCATGCTGAAGGTTACAAGTGGTCATGGAGCTTATATACACGAGCTAGAACAATTCTAATTCCCGGGAGGCTTTAAGTCCCTCGTTTATAGTAGCTTTGGTATTTTTAATATAGTATGCCTCAAGTGATAACAATTGTGACCAGTTATTACTAGAGTCAACAATTTACTATTTGTTTCTAACTGCGAAAGGTCTATTGTACTATAGGAAATTCTATTAGAGAAATTTGAAGTTCGCACGTGTTTCTGTTGTCACGGCGGGAAAATCAAGAACACAAAAAAGCAAGCCTTGGAACACGAGCGCAGCGAGTTAGTTTTTTTGCTTCTAGAGAGGGGACTGAGTACGAGTTCCGCTTCCCTTGGTGCATCGCGCGCTGCGTGAGATAAGGAGAGAAAGTACTGCCTAATATGGTGTGGTACTTTCACATACTTGAGCATTCTGTCGATGGGTTTTCCCAGGTACTCTAGTAAGTATTCTCGAAGCGAGTCCTGCAGCTTTTTTTCGGCATATTTCTGACGCCATAACAGAAGTTGTCTTACGTCGTCTTGTAGTTTGAGTAAGAATTTGGGATCTAAAACATCCTTGACGTACACTTCATCAAATATGCCTGAAAAATATAAACGACGGTATAATACTCCAGTTTCGAGATCTTATTTGTGCAGTCTTAACCTCAAAAGCATGTAGTATATTCTTTTATTCAGCAGAGATCCTATTGAAATGCAAACACTCTGTGTACAAATAAGACATTAAAAAATTATGCTTGATTGAAGCTAAGCTTGCACAAAAAAGGAATTCGAAATTGGAGTATATATTAGGCATAAGAAGGTATTATTCTCTGTTAGAACACGCGGGAATTTTGAAGAACATGAGGTTTGAATATTTCTGTTTTTCAAACTGTTTTTCGTATAGCCACACAGGTCTGTAAACATACAGTAGTGTGAAGGCATCTCATTTAATGTTTTTGTTTTTTTTGTTTTTGTTTTTTCTCATTTAATGTTCTTCCACTAAATGATTCTCGACTTCGAAATGCGTAAAGAAACTCCACATCCGCCATTTTGATATTTTCATCAATACCATGATGCACTTCGCCAACTCATATGACGTCATTAGGAACACACCAAAGAGTTACTATGGCAATACCTCAAATACATTGGAAATGGCAATAACAAAGCATTGTCAATAGTAACGTCAAATATAGCTATTTTGTCAGAGATTGTCGATTTGCTATTGTTTGACGGTATCGGAGGTATTTAAGTGATTTTTGTGGTCTAATAAATGTCTGCTACTTTTAGATTATTCATAATTCAACTCAATAACTACTGCTTTGATACACTCAATTGCCGACAATCCTTTTTAAATGGTTCTTTATAACAACAATGACTCGTTTTTATCGCTATTAGCGAGCTTAGTAACCTCACCTTTTGCACCATCCCTATAGATGTTTGGATATCTTTGTCCGATTGCGTAATACCCAGTTAAACAAGCCTCTTGTGATCCAACCATGCCTGCTTTAACACCTAACTTGAGATTCTCAACATACTGACCAAAAGTATTGTTTAACTTGATCAGCGTATCACGAAATGCTTCCATCTCCTTGACTGTTGACGGCTTGAAATTTGCCAATTCATTATGAATCTCATTCTCGATATAACATATAGATTTGTAGCAAAACTGGTCAGGCCCCATCATCCAGTCTCCAGTATAGTAGTTCCCTTCACCGAATGATGAGAAAGAGTTTTTCATAAAGAATGTGAGCTGAGCTAAGGCTTTCTTTTCTCGCTGCTTGAGCTTATTGGTATCAACTTTAAGGTTTTCTAATAGTTCTTTATACAGCTGTCGTATAGCATCAGTTCTGGCTTTAAGTCTCTTGGGTGTGTAATCAGTTGGTATGTAATATTTCCGCAATTCCTTCTCAGTTACTCCTGG